TCTGTGCTTACACTTGAGTTAGTCTCTATAGTTACTCGTAGAATAAATATAATTACAGTGAGAAGTCATCCAGTGCTTCCTAGAAGCCACACACTATGCCACCGTTCTTTACCCATGCTAGAATGCTGAATTCTCTCAGTAACTCAGGGCCATAGAGTAACTGGGGTCTTCAAGAACATTTCTTACACGATGCTGAGACCCTAACCTGCCAAGTAACACTCAGCCACCGGCCCATGGTATTAAGAGTCTGACAAGCATCAAATTTCCCAAGCAAGGAACATCTTGGACTTTGTGGTCCTTCCCTGGATATGAGGCCTGTTGGCAAAAAGAGAAGAAACCTCTTCATTTAGAAGTCATGTTTGCTTGGTTTTTATGAATCTGTGAAAAGATGGGTAGAAAGTTGCCCCTCAGTTTCCCAAATGTGGCAGAGGTTGTGATGGGATATGAGCATACACGTTAACTATGCCCTCATAAGGAAACACATCTCCCTGCACTGAAGGTAGCAGTCTTGGGCCTCCAGAGTCTCATCGGTAGGGCACGGACAACACTCCTCTGTTGCCCTCCCTAGTATCTCTGGGAGATTCACCAGCTCTGGAGCCTGGGACTGTCAAACAAGAAAAGGAAGCTGTGTGAATGACATCTGGATACTGCTCAGCCTCGTCCTTGGCAGGATATGGATAGAGGGCATGTGAGACCCTCGGTTCCATCTTGATCTTTTGGTCTATTGTGATATTTGTCTCACTGTGTCCCTTTAACATTTTTTTTTTAAATATTTTTTTTTTATTTATTTGACAGAGAGAGAAAGCACAAGCATGGGGAGCAGGAGAGGGAGAAGCAGGCTTCCTGCTGAGCAGGGAGCCCGATGTGGGGTTTGATCCCAGGACCCTGAGATCATGACCTAAGCCGAAGGCTTTACTGACTAAGCCACCCAGGTGCCCCTCATTGTGTTTCTTAAAAAAAAAAAAAAAAAAAGGATCAAAGTATAATCTGTACCAAGAGAAGGAAATATGGTCGATCCTAGAACACATGGGTATTATTAGCACTCCCCCTTAAAGCGGATGGTCCTGGGGCTTCGTGGAATTAAGTCACCTGAATGATGAAGCCAGAATTGGGATCCCGGTTTGTCTGCTTCTAGAGCACGCTCCTCATAACCACCACATGAGCACACCGCCCATAACTGAAGCAGATGGTCCTGAATCAAACTTGAGTCCATAAACCAAATCTATGACTCCCTAAGGAGATGTAACACTGCATTAGTGGAGATTTTAAGGCAATTTAATGGATATTAAATACGTATCTCTCCCCTAATGTATATTCCTCTGAATTCATTCATTTGCTCGTCTATTAAATAAAGATTTATCGAGTGTTGGCTACGTATACGCTGTGCTACTGAGGGATAAGGGATGAGTGAGTGCAGGGAAAACAGAATAATGAATTAGACACAGATTCCGCTCTCAGGAGCTTACATGAGAAGTCAGAGATATATGTAAATGACTTAAGGTATAAATGATGAGCACCACAAGACAGTTGCAGATAAAGGAGTGCAGTGTATTCTAGGGGTGGATGTGGGTGTGTGTGGGTGGGTGTGGGTGTGAACGCGTGCACGCACACATGTGCATTCGTGGGCACGTATGTGTTTGGCAATTGGTTATGGTGAATGAAAGAGCTCTAGGTTTGAACAAATGCAGGGAAGCAGGCAATAAAAAGATAACTGCAAGAAGACCGGTTTAGTTGGCATGAAAGGTCCATAAAAAAGCGGTGGAATTTAAGACCGGAAATAGAAGCAACGCATTACACCTTCCATGCAGAGGAGTGATGCCATTGGTTCTGTGCTTTGGTAGGAAGTAGCTGGCATTACTGAGCAGCAGGGGCCAGGAAACCACAGCTTGTGGCCACATTTGGCCCATGGCCTGTTTTTCGATGGCTAGTAAGTAGGGAATGGCTTTGAGATTTTGAAGCGTTGTTTAAAAACAAATAAGCACATAAACAAAGAAACTGTGACAGAGACATTCTGCAGCACACAAAACCTGAATGTTTGCCAACCCCTTGGCGTATAGAACGGATTGCTGGAGGGTACTGGATTAGGGGAGACCAAGTTACGGGGGGACAGCAAGAGTCCAGACAAGGAAGACGAAGAGGGTGTGGGTGAGACGATGGAGTCTGGAAATGCAGGAGCTGGAGGGAGACAAAGCTGGATATTGGTGCACTTGGGAGTTGTCTCAAAATGAGACCTGAAGTTCGAATAGTGAATGAAAGGGGAAAGAGCCAAGGATCGATCTTTGATAAGTGTCTGTTTATAGAGTGGGGAGGAAGAAGAGGAACGAGCAAGCCCGCTGAGCTAATATCATTGCTTCCATTTGTTCCATTAGCACATGCTCTATGCCCTTGGCCAATCTTTGCCTCAAGGTGCCCTCCCCCAGTGAGAATGTGACGATACCGAGATGCTACTGCTTCGGCTGCTAGGACAGAACAGGGAGCTACTCCTTCAGTTTCGCCTCTCAGACTATGTGTGCATCATCTTCCAGATACAGCTCGATCCCAGGTCCCCTCTAATTCTCCCCAATCTCTTCTCTGTGTCCCTGTGGCATCTCTGGAAGCTTCTCGACTGATGAGGTTTAAGGACAAATCAGTTTATTCCTCCCCTCCCCCCATACATCCTGAATTGATGGACCGGATAAGCATCCGTAATAGTCTAGTTGCAAAGTTTGCTTCTACACTTTAGAATCACTACCGCACAGGAGAGCTAGCTGTAGGAAAGGAAGCGGGAAGCTCGTGTGGCCATACCATAAAGACTGTGACATGTACTGCAAAGGCCCGCAAGAGGCCATCAGGAGACTACCAAGGTTTGTAGCAATTGTAGGGAGCAGGAGAGGAGACTGATGTCCCTGGAGGCCTATCTGAGTAAGAGCCAGAAGATTCCACTTTCGGAGGCGTATGGAGAAGCACCAGGCCCACGGGCAGAGGGGTGGGTAAATGAGAGGACCCAGCCAAGCAAAGAGGGGAAACAGTCTGGACTCTCTGTGAGGCACAGGGCAGAGAAAACTGCACTCAGCTACGCTCTGTCTCCAGGGAGTTTGGACTCCGAGGAGCGAATTAGGGAGAAGCTTGGTGTTCAAATTTGAGATGAATGAAGTGATGGTGGTGCGTGGAGGGGGGAGGGTAGCTGTGTTTGCAGGGACGTGTGTGTGGATCTTAAAGTCTTGGATTTGGGAGCAGTGTATGTTCTGGATGCAGACATGACTCCCAGGTGTGACTGACAGGGGGTGGCAAGGTGGCCCCTGTGGGGGCCGGCAGCTGAGAGAGGACAGCAGATAGGAGGAGATGTCAGTGTGGAAATGGAAGGTGGCAAATGAGTCTCTAGACTTTCTAGGAAACTTACAGGACCACTGAAATGGATAGTTCCGGTGAATTTTCATGGTTGGCATTGGGGAAACTGTTAGCACTCGGTCAGCAGAAAATCTGTCCTACATGCAGCAGGCTCCGGGGTTCATGCACCTCTCTGGGGCTGGAGGAAGTGTTTGAACTGAATCTCCTTGCGGGTACCAGCAGTCGTGGCTGTGAACCCCATCTGTGCCCTGGGTTCTCTCTATATACGAGGTGGCCAGACTACCTGGGTCTATGGACACTCAAGGATTAGAGGTGGCAACTTTCACACCAAACCTGGAAGGGGCTGAAGTTTCTCACAGAGGTCATGCAGATGCTTTCCGGACATGTGTCTTGCTTACTTGAATCAAGTCCTGTTTTCTTAAATGTTCGGTTTCTCAAACTCAGAAATTGCCTCCTTCCCCTGCTCCCCTCCCTCCTGGGAGTCTCAGTGAGCCTGCCACAGTCCTGGGCACAGGGACACCTTCGTGAGCTCCAGACCACGCCTGGAGGAGCTGAGGGTCTGGTCGGGGAACTGGCTGAGAGCGACTCACTCCAGCCCCTCCCTACCCTATCTGCCTCCCCTGTGGTTGAACCTTTCAGGGTCTGGTCCTGGCATCCCTCTGAAGGAGAAGTGCCACCCCCCCTCCTCCGGAGTCCCCAGAGATAATCATTCCAGAATGCCCACGCAGACCTGAGGTGGTTCAAAGCCTGAGTGAGGCTTCTGCTCAGGTTTAGGCTGCTCTTTGAACTTCCCCTGTCAGCTGGCAGGCTCAAGTGACCTCTGAGGATAGTCTCTGCTTGCTGAGGTGGCCAGGGAATCCGCTCAGAGGGGGTTCAGTGAGACAATATCTGATAAGAGCCTTTCCCACAGAGATGAAATACTGCGGTGTTGAGTCCTGCCTCCTCATTTACTAATCAAGTCTCTTTGCATCACCTCATCTGTCAGGTGAGGATAATGATCCTACCTCTCTCCTTGGGACAGTTGTAAAGATGGCAGGAGTTAATACATGTAAAGATTTAGCATGCTGCCTGGCACATGGCAAGTACTCGTTAAATGTTAACTCATGTTATTTCTGTTCACTCGAACAGAAGGTCTCTGTGATGATGCCACATTTGCAAGACACTTGCACCAGATGTAAGAAATATTTCAGTAGTTATTGGAGGACACTTCAGAAGCTACGGAAGTTTCCAGCATTCCGCAGGCATGTCCCTCCCTTTTCTACCTGCATGGATTAGCATGTGAGCATAGCAGTCCTGTGTCACTAAGATATTTGACAATAAGTCCATCAGTGATTCCCTACTCCCAAGCAAAGGGAAGCCCTGAAGGGAAGTATTTTCCAGGAGGAAACCTATTTTCTCTCCTCAACTCATTTGGTGGAGGCAATCGGAAGCATTGGGGTGCGCTTCAAGAGGGTGCTGAGGCCCGGTTGCACACACTTCATTAAATCTGGGCAGAAAAAGTAGTGTCTTAGCTACTGAGGGGAGGAGGCTACAGGAGCCAATGGAAACTGAGGAACGTTGTGAGCTTTGGCTGGAAATAAAGAACACTTGGTGTGTGATTCAAGAAAATGTTTCGATGGACAAAGGGAATATGGAGGGGACTCCGCCACTCGTGGGAAACACTGTTTACATACCAATTCCTTCTTCTTCATGCACTCCATGAGGATGATGAACAGATGCTGGGCTTGGGTCCGAGTGTACGTGAAAGTCTTCTGGATGGTCACCAGCAGCTGGTCTCTCAGAGATTCATTGATAAGTCTGCAATTAGAAACAACGTCAACCACAGGTCAACCGAGCTCCTCTTCAGTACATGTTCCTGAGAAATATTCTAGAACACAGGAAAGCACTGTGGGGATTGACTTTAGACAGAGGAGTTATTTCTTCCTGTATTTTTCTTGCCACAGTTATTTCAACTGTGATAATTAAAAAAAAAACAAAAAAACCCCAACAAAACAGTGCACTTAAAAATAAATCCATTTTAATGTCTCAGAACCTAAAAAAGTAGTCAGAAGATGAATTTGGTTCTTTTTTTCCTTTGTCTTTCTCTTTTTTTCTTTTATATGGCATGTGTCTAATACCCTGTTCCTCAAGTGCCATTATCAAAGAAAGCCTTACTCATTAGCATCTTGGTAAAAATTTACTGCATTACTTATATGAAGATTTAAATTTCAACTTCATCTCTAACTGTGGGGGAGAAGCTTCCATCTCAGTAATTTGAGCACCAATGAGGAGCAATGGGACTTATGTTTCTTCTAAAACCATTTCCTGTAGGTGGTAACTTATCTGACCTATGATTCAGGTCATCATTTATGTCAAGCATTGGCTGTGTTACAGCCAAAAAGAGTCTGATCCACAGGAGGTCTAATATGGACTATTTCAGTAAGAGAGAGTTTTTGTGCTATAGAAGAATGAGAGAAAGCAAGGGAGGTACGTGATACCCAACCACTGCCCTGTGGCCTCTCGAAGCTGAACCAGCTAACTTTTAACTCCGCCCTCACTAAATGACCTGGTGAAAACTGGGTTACCTTTATTTGCCATCAGGGGATGAAAAATCACTTTACTGTTCATAGATTCTGTCCAAAATCAGGAAGATAAAACTTCTTTCAAGGACCAGCGACAAAATTATCATACTTTGCCTAGCATTTTATGGTTTTGTCATTTTTTCCCCATAATTGAAGAACCAGAAACTCCTATCTACAACAGTAAAATATAATTATTTCATTTGGTGCTCATGGGAACCCTGTAGGCAAAAGGTCTGTACAATTTAAAAGGGAAGGGTGTTTTAGCTGGAAAGAGCCAGATGCTTAAGGTCATCAGCAGTTAAGAGGCAGAGCTAAAACCAGAATCTAGGTCTTCTGATTCCTTGCCCAGTACTCTTTCCATTACACTACTGTCTCTCATTACACCAAGTGCACTATACCTTGGCCTCTCTTCCTCACTGTGGCTACTTGAGAAGCAAATTATAACATATGCTTTAATGTGAAAGCAGAACGAATTTTGTTGCTTCAAAGAAAGCAAGATGGGAGGCTTGAGGATATCCTTCTGTGCCCCAGGATTGTGTGAAGATCACCTGAACCCACTAGGTTGGACAATATGGTTCCCTAAACTTTCAGGAGGGTGCATTCCTCATGACAGGATTATACCAAGGATCCTGGAATGTCATGCAGCTCGACGGAGGATTGGGTTATGCCTTCTGCCCCCCAGGAAGGTTTATATCATGAATAGTTAGAAAAAGAGAATGATCCAGATGAAGTTGAAAAATAATACCAGATCCTCTCAAGATTACTAAATCATTCTGGATGACTCTGTGGCCTTAGGTGTAGACCAATCTGAAACCATTCATTCACTTATTCGTTCATTCAACAATTGCCTAGTGATGTCTATTTCATGTCAGAGACTGTAGTGCCTGCCAGGGCTACAGGGTTAGATGAGAGACACACTCTCCCAGCTTTCAATGAGCTAACACACTGGTGGAGTAGGAAGATGGGACCTAGCAATTTAACTGTGATCGGTAGTGGTAAAGAAGTAGAGAACTTGTGACAGTTGAATCTAATCTAATCTAGGTGGTACAGGGAAGACTCCTCTGAGGAAGTGCTGTTTAATTTGAGACTTGAAGAATAAATGAACATTAGCACGTTGGGGGCGGGGGTGCTACGTAAGAGCATTCTTGGCAGATGAAATAGCGTGAAAAGATGAAAAGCCCAGTTTTGAGAAAATAAGGTCAGTATCGCTAGAATATGGAGAACAAAACAAAGAGTGGAACAAGATGGTGTTGCAAAAGGAGAGAGTAAGGATAAGATCATGCGGGACTTTTGAGGTGGTGTTAGAGACTTTGGATTTTATCCCACAGGTAGTGAGAGGCTGCTGGCGAGTGACATGATCCCATTTGTGTTGCCAAATTTCCTGAAGGGTCAAGATGTGAGCACTCTACTTGACAGGCAACCCATGTGGATGGGTCTAGAGAGTTCTGCAATACTGAGTATACATAAATGTCGTACATGATTAACAACACAAGAAGAGACTCTCCTCATTAGCCACTTGATAGATCGAATCATTCATCTGCAGGTGTTTAATTTTTTTTTAAAGGTTTTATTTATTTATTTGAGAGAGAGAGCACATGAGAGGGGGGAGGGTCAGAGGGAGAAGGAGACTCCCTGCTGAGCAGGGAGCCCGATGCGGGACTCAATCCAGAGACTCCAGGATCATGACCTGAGCCGAAGACAGTCGCTTAACCAGCTGAGCCACCCAGGCGCCCTGCAGGTGTTTAATTTTGATAAACAACTCGAGATTTGTTTTTCATTGCTAACCATCTGTAGTGAAATCCCAGTTCCCTGAGGTCATTAACTGTTTGAGGGATCTGTTATCTGTATGTAGTCTACGACTTTGTAAAAATTGAGAAATCATGTGCAACTTAGTTGATTGTGAGCTTTGTTAGCGAGGAGAGCTGAAAGACACTGAAGACGTCTTTATACTAAAAAGTATAAGATCTTTATTTTGCAACTGAATTAAGTTGTGCCTTTGGTTAAATCATTTAGCAACAAACACCCAGAATTCTACTTCTAGAAGTACAAGGATTCTCTAGATTGGTGTTTTCTAAAGCGTGGGGTGCCAATCACTGATAGAGCAGAGTGGTTTTAGGTGAGACAAAGATGATTTAGTCTTTCCAAAGCCTTAAGTTATACTCATTAAACATTAAGTAACTGTTTTTCTGGCTTTAGTTCTTTTACCATCCTGATTGCATCAAGAGGAAAATCACATTTTTGATGTTTCTTTGGTTTTATTAGCTCATGAGCATTTGTAAATCTCCCCCTTTTGGCAAAGAAATAACAGGTATTAGGTCCCACGCTTTTTGCAGAAAGAGTTTAAGAACTTTTAAAAGAAGATCCTGTAAAGCATTTGATGTATTCAGAGCACATCATGGTTTAGGACATACAATGGGATCATATCATTTGATTTTCACATCAGTCTGAGAGAGAAGCAGGTATGAATTCCATTTTGCAGAGGAGGAGGCTGTGGCCCAAAGAGACCAAATGATTTGTACAAGACCAAATGAGGTTGATGATCTTGGTGCTTGAGCTGAGTCTGCTGAATTCAGCCTTCCATCGTGGTGCTGTTTTTCCTGTTTGAAACCTCTAAATATGTCTTTTAGTTTCCTAATCATCTGCATTGGAAGTAGAAATTTAAGTATATTTGTTTTAGGAAATTGCTCTTCCTTTTTGTGATAGAACATCTGAAGGAAATCTGAAGATACGGGGAAGAGTGAGGACAATGGCAAAGTGCATTTCGTATGTTGAAGATTCTATGGCTTCTGATCTCCTCACAAGTGTTTGCTAAGCTGAAGGAGATGTTTTCTATTTGGCACAAAGACTTCCCCTGTCTTCTCTAAGGACCCTTTCTTACTTTATGACCATATTTCTGTAGGATATTGGGAAGCTTGCTTTCTTGAAATTATTGCTTTCCTAGCTCTTCCCGTTTTTTTTTTTTTTTTTCCTGCCCAACACTGGAAGGATTTAAAAAATCTTGACCGTGATATTTAATCACCAGCAAAAAATAGAAATAAGCCCATTTTAGATTTCTTTTTATGGCACAAGAATAGTGATTGAGAATTTCTTGACATCAAAACATGGTCAGAGTATTATATAAAATTTTCATTTTAGAATTGGGTCTTTGACAAAATGGTGCCTATTTATAGAAACTGTTAATTTGTGGTTCCATATGGACCAATGCTATTTTTGGTATACCTCAAATTAGAATGTTTCTTGATTTAGGAAGGGTAGTCATTGAAGTGAGGAAAATCTCCATACTATGGCATTTGTGTTTCCATTTAAATGCTGAACTTGTGATCTGGAGCTTTTTGGATGAGTCACAGAAGTATCTGAAATAGGTCAATGTGCATCCAGTGCTCGGAGTAACCAAAGGAACTTCGCACCCTTGGCTACTCACATTCTGTTCAAAGGCTAGCAACACAACCCACGTGTGCACACTTTTCTTGGAATGACTTTAATCACCTGCCATATCAGAGTTTTGTTCCTCGATTTAAAAATTAGAAAATGCATTTAGAATTCAATGGGACGCGAAGAGCTAGACTTAGGTTAATGGCTTTCATCAAGGAGCGAAGCCCTTCTCCTGCCCTCCACACATGCTCTCAGTTCACTTATTCAGATACAACACGAGAAAATTTTACCTATATAAATAAAGATCATTAATAGTACCGCAATTTGGTACATAAAAGACATCATTTCCCAGAGAATCTCTAATGCTCTAAAGAAAAATGAAATTTTGTCATTTGCTTCATGCCAAAGCAAATTACTACATGTAATCTTAGGAGACAGAAAGGTTACATGTCTTGCCTAAGGGTCACAAAGAATGGCATTTTTCTTTTCTTCTCCTCCTCCCATCCCCCTCCTCCTCCATTTCCTCCCTCCCCTCTTCCTCCTCCTTCTTCTTGGTTAGTAAAAGTTACCCCTTCCTCCCAAATGCCATGACTGGGGGGTCACAAGTAACAGCATGATTCTTCCCGGAGAGGGAACCCGTATTGTGGATAAAAACCATCACAGTCACCAGGGCTAGACTGTCTGGAGCGAAGCTGTCACTTGCCAGCTATATGATCTCGTGCGAGCTGTTTAGTCTTTCCATGTCATGTTTTTCATGTATGTAAAATGAGAATTATAAGAGTGCTTATCTCATAGACTTGTGACTATTTAATGAGTTAATCTTTGTAGAGGGCCTGATGCGTAGCAAGGTCTATGCAAGCATTT